GCGTTCTTACGGTAATAGGCGAGTTCCCGCCCCGCCACTCCCCTCCGCGGTGACGTCACCGAGGGATATCGCGGTCGCTAGGCAACGCGAGTCAACAGCGGCGACGTTACGATAGTAACAGCGGTTACCTCCGCTAGCGTTACATAGCAACACAGCGCCAGGCAAAAAGGGTGCCTATTACGTGGCCGTTTTCCCGTACTGTCCGATCGAGGCTACATACGGAGCAGCGAAGGCTTATTCACAGTCAGTTCTAGTGTGGCTTTTGGAGTGTACTATTTGTGATACTGCAGATAGCAGTAATCGTCAGATTGTAATTTGGGTGAGTGTAAGAGCGAATGTGAAATAAAATTCGCTATATAAAATACATCGTGAAGTTATTTGTCGCGATATACGCCCGATACGCGACAATATTACGCCTGATTGACACTGATCGATCTCTCTGTGTTGGTAGTTGTATGCAGGATGACAGAGTACTTGGCAAAGATGTGAAATTAGATGAGAAAGTTACAACCAAATTTTATCTGAGGTGTGTTTGTTCTTTGTGCTACGCCGTATAGATGTAAAGAAAGAGTAGTTATAGTGANGATTGAATTTTCCCTGATTCCAGGGAATTGTCAATGAATACAATACATAGTACACAATATAAAATTCATATTTGCTAGTTTTCGACAAATTTGTGAATAATAATAAAAAACTCCGTGGTTTTAGTCTGCAAGCGAACTATAATTAAATTTATTATTATTTATGTGCCGAGTCAACAGCTGCAAGGCCAATTACAAACACAGCACAGTGTAGATACAAATAATTACATTATGGACAAAAACAGCATAAAGTCAAAGACAAATTACAGGCAAGCATTGAAGGAAAAACACATTAATGCAGAAAAGTAAACAAACAAAGGAAGATGAGGCGAGGTAACAAGATCTACATAACACAGAACATTAGGATTGTGAACAATTAATATTAACAATTTTAGGTTGATGAGTATAAATGTGATTGAGAGAAACCGCTCAAATTGCAAATACGTCGAGATCTTTACCAACCACGTTGGCAGTATAGGCGCACCGAGCAGAAGGGCAGTGTTTATTAGAGAGACAAACACCAAACAATGAGAAGTCACTAAGATTGCTGCGAGGAACACGAAGGCTAACATTTTTCAAAAGGGAAGTGCAGATTTTAAGGCCATGATAGACCTGAACAAAAAATAATAATTGAATGACATTTTTCATTTCTTTACATCCTTAATAACGATACTGGAAACGACAATACTACCCATGTACTTTATTACACCCCCTTGAATGAACTGAATAGCCTCTTCCATTAGTGAGGAATCGAATCGTAATTTTCGAGATATCAGATACTAACTGCGCAAGTATAGGAAAGGGAAAAGGAGTTCACGGTTGGCGTCTGGTAGGAATTTAATCTGTGGTGTGGTCGCTGGGTATTTTGGATTTCTGTAAAGAGGAAGGACGAATGGCATGGGATGGTGTGGATATTGTGGTAAAGCTCATTTGTTTTACAATGTCGTAATTTAATTGCTGATATAATGTCAGCACTGTAATCTTATATTTTTTTATTTTATTATACCATCACTGTAAAGGTCCTGTTAAGGTGTGTTACGATTGACCATTTAAGAGTCGACATTTGTCAGCTGTTCCAGATGTCATTTATCATGCAGACATTACAGTTTTTGTTGTTACTATTATTTTCACGTAGTGTGTATATTTTTTGAGTAGTTGCACCACACCAAAAGACGAGAAAATATGCTGGAGTGAAAATCTGTTAGAAGACAGCTTTCATCTAGGCTTCATATAATCCAGACGCACCATTTTCACATATAAGAGTGAGTTTTATTTATTTAGACAGCCTTTTAAGCTATTTTGTTTTGAAATAAAGGAATTACCACTTCAGCCATGACCGTTATATTAATCAGAACACATTTCATTCAGCTTGGAGTCGCTGCTTTCTCCATGATTTGATGGCTAACATCGAGATGCCTCCACTAAAAAGCAGTGGCCGAGTATCAGCTCCAGGGCAGCAACTTCACTTAACCACATCATCACTAAATGGCAACGAAATTTCGAGTACTTCTCCATCAGACAAGAAGTATTCATGTCATCATTATGCTTCCAAGGTGCTTCAGAATTTGAATTTTCTTCGCCAGAACACCAGATTTTGTGACGTGGAGATTGTTGCAGGTGGCAGAGTTATGAAGGTAAAGTCAAATAACATAGAAATTGGTTGCTTAGTGTTTTACATTATTTCTACTATTGGATGCATTTGTTGAATTGGTTATGGACTTCCCTACTACTGTCTCATGAAACCATACTAAACCTTGAGGCTTTTAAGTCTATGTATCTCATAATTTTGTTTTATAGCCAAGATGTACATATTACAGTATTATTCAGTGAAGTCAGTGTAGATGAAAATTACAATTTACTGCAGAATTTTCAGCCAACAGAAATTAGGTTTGTTGAAGTTAGCTTAATTTGTTTAGACAGTGTTGGAGTGGGTAAGAGTATTCATGTACAAGTATTTTCTACATTTAATAGTGTGAGCCTAAAAGATAAAACATATTCATATGTTTTGTTCTTTCCTGAAAGGGTGTGTAAGTTGTATATGTTGGCAGCATTTGGCATTATACATCTGTTGAATAACTCAACATTATCTATTTCTATTATAGTATTTTTGTGAAAGTTCAAAATGCCAGAGTTTTGCATATATTGTAATGAGTATTCTGCATATGGTGGGGGTCCTTAATTTGTTTTGCAGTTACAGATTCTATAAGTTTGATTTGTTTCATCCTGTTCCATAACACTAACAACATTATAAAAGGTTAATTAATTCCGTCCAGTGTGACTGATGAAGTTTTTTCTCATTTTTAACATTTTATCCCTAACATGTTTCGGTCTTATAGACAATTTTCAGAAGGATATCAATAGTGGCTTCTAATTGTATTGATATCCGTCTGAGGATTGGCCTATAAGACCGAAACATGTTAGGGATAAAATGTTAAAAAGGAGAAAAACTTTATGAGTGACACTGGACAGAATTAATTAACCTTCTATAATACAGATTCTATATGTCAGTTTCTCTCTTCATTCTTCCTTTGTCATTCTTGTCCTCTCCTTGTCACCCTCCTCACAGTCTCTCTAAACACCATTCCTCTGGCTATACTCAACATGAATTACTCCACCATCATCATCTATCATCTGAGGCTGGTACAATAGGCCAGTAGTGGCCACAGTACCAAGTGGACTCAGTCTCACCCCACAAAGAGGGGGGGGACAAACAACAACAACAATAATAATAGTTGTGGCATTTGAATGGGAAAGTTGTATGCCCTAAAGAGTGACAGCAGGTCAACTTTTCAAAGTCGGTTTTAATTAGAACGTGGCATAAATGTACTGTCATTTTGTACCGCCAAACGAATATACCCCGTACTAAGTACATCTGCATCCCGACAGTGATGAGCAGTATTCACTTCATACAGTTCACGTAACTTAAATAAATCATCCAGACATTGATTTTCAAGTCAATAACAGTTGGTACCATTGAAGAAAGGACAGAAATGCAGATGAATGTTCATAGGTCACCAGAAAGGGAATATGCATGACATCATCAGGGAGACTAGTGTGCTTTGCCACTGGGGAGGAAATGTGCACAACACAAAGAGAAGCATGCAGGCAGTCCTGTCCCTAAATGCCGTGCTGTACAGCACATGGAACTGTCCTGACTGTAGCACTAGACTAGTTCAGTTTCTCCAGGCTCATATTTGAACCCAGAACCTTTGAATGTCAGCAAGAGTTCCAATCATGTTTTGTTAAAAACTCATCATATTGAGGAAGTGATATAACATGAGTATTTATTTCACAGAGTAAAAGAAAGAATTAGTATGTAGTTATCAGCGCTCCTGAGTGCCATGCCATGAGGGTATAATGGGGATATGGAGATATGGTGAGGTTTGTGCTGAGGTTTCTGGCCACCTTTATTTGCAGAGCATTGGATGAATATGAATCTATGAATACAGAACAGTTTCATATTACATTCCTTTCTGTATATATGTATAAGGGGTGGGCCATAAAATCTGGCCCTCCCACTGTGACCTTCAATGATTTATTGTGCTTCCCTTTGGATTAACCCTTCATTAATCCTACACTTCGAATGAAATGTAGGACTTTATTTATGGGGGCATCATAAAAGTCACTTGGTTCCATGAAGATCTGACCCAGATGACAAAATCATAAGTAATCTATGGCCTCACAATCACATAGGATATGTGTGGCTTATTTATCTTCTTATAGGCACCTTTCATAGGATGGGTCATCTGTCAGTCCTAGTTTGTTCCTTTCTGTAGCTACACAACCAGTTCCATGCTTGATGTATTGTCCTAGTAAACATTAATTACCTTGCACAGTAAAAGAAGTTCCTTCTCTCTAAAAAAGAATAAGCAATTCTAGTAAATTTGAATGTACCAAATTTCAACCCAGGCTTTGAGATATACAGAGTGATTCACGAAGTTTTACCCCCACTTAGGGAGGGCATTCCTGAGGTAATTTGGAACAAAAAATGTTAATATACTAATGGTATCCAACTCATAATTAAAGAGATACAGTAATTTGAAAACTGGCGAAAAATCTTTTTTTCTTTGAATTTCAGTCAAAACAAATTAGAAATACAATACAAACACTTTTTAAATTGTTAATGTTTTAGGAAAGAAGCATTCTAAGACCATTTTTTTTCAATTTCTTAAGTTTGCATTGTGCAACATTTTTCATCGATTTTATGTTACAAAACCAGATTATTTTCAGCACCCCATTCTGTAAACAAACCAATGAATGCATATCACACCCTTCTATCAATCTGTTTCCTTTAAACTGTAGTGCTTTAGAAGACGACTGGATTTACATAAGATTTTCAAAAATGTCTCCCTGCACGTCAACACAACGCGTCACACGCGCATGAACTGCTCTGCCTATCTACCTACGTGCAACATTCAAACCGGTCTACCTTATCTGCTGACATAGCTGACTGGAACGTATGGTCGCCCACTCTGAAGCATAGTGCTGCATTCACAATGATGAATTTCGAAAATCTATTGTTATTCCGTAACTATTGAAAATCGACCACAAGTTTATAAGGAAATTTTGCAGGAAATAACCCAAGGAATATGTACCATAAGCCGGGGTAAAACTTCGTGAATCACTCTGTATATTACCCACCTTGCTTGAATGAAAAGGATTAAAATTTGACGTGCAACAAGTTATATAAAATAGCAACCAGTCAGTTCATGACAATACAATCTTCTGGGCAATGAATGAATGATATTTTGCATTATGTTAATAAACATCTGTGTGCTTGCTGCTCTCCAAGATGAATATTTGTGAGATGGTGAATATGTTTATATTTTTCAGAGAAGCCACTGGTCTAGTCTTCCAAAGAGAATGGTAGCTGAGAGAATATTTCCAGTAATACTTTTGTAATTTCTGCATAAAAATACACAAAAATCACCCAACTTTACACTAAGAAGAAAACCAGTGCTGTTCATTGTTATTAATATGAAAAACAATGCTTATTTTCCTTTCACACTGCTAGGAAATTATAACTCCAGACCAGAGGTTGGCAAAACCTTTAAAGTACGATGGTTGCTATAATGCACCACCTCCATGAACATAAAGAAAACTCTGAATATTGCCCATACAGAGTATTTAATTGTTTTACATGATTGTCAGACTAGCTATTAATTATATCCCTAGGCACCATTAATCCATTGGTCATTATGATGGAGATAGAATTTTTTATAATTTAGAAGTCATTTATACTTCTGAAGGTTAACAGAGTGAGTCATGGTTGAGTCTGCTTCATATTATCACGTGTTGGGTGTATAATGTGACAAATAACTTCACGCTGTATTTGATATAGTGAATTTATTCCACTCACTCTTACAATCACACAATTTACAATCTCGCAATTACTGCCATCGGCAGTATCACAATTACTTCTCTTGTTTCCATTCACTCCAAAGAGTGCTAGACTGTAACTGGCTGGTTAATCTCCCTCTAGTAACTGGCTCAATCCTCACTGTCTAATCCCTCGCTACTAACTACTAACTAACTCCTGAATAGTCAAAGTCAAAGTTACATTGCGACTGATGGTTAGTCAGTCTGTCTGCTGCTTCATATTATCACGTGTTGGGTGTATAATGTGACAAATAACTTCACACCGTATTTGATATAGCGAATTTATTCCACTCACTCTTACAATCACACAATTTACAATCTCGCAATTACTGCCATCGGCAGTATCACAATTACTTCTCTTGTTTCCATTCACTCCAAAGAGTGCTAGACTGTAACTGGCTGGTTAATCTCCCTCTAGTAACTGGCTCAATCCTCACTGTCTAATCCCTCGCTACTAACTACTAACTAACTCCTGAATAGTCAAAGTCAAAGTTACATTGCGACTGATGGTTAGTCAGTCTGTCTGCTGCTTCATATTATCACGTGTTGGGTGTATAATGTGACAAATAACTTCACACCGTATTTGATATAGCGAATTTATTCCACTCACTCTTACAATCACACAATTTACAATCTCGCAATTACTGCCATCGGCAGTATCACAATTACTTCTCTTGTTTCCATTCACTCCAAAGAGTGCTAGACTGTAACTGGCTGGTTAATCTCCCTCTAGTAACTGGCTCAATCCTCACTGTCTAATCCCTCGCTACTAACTACTAACTAACTCCTGAATAGTCAAAGTCAAAGTTACATTGCGACTGATGGTTAGTCAGTCTGTCTGCTGCTTCATATTATCACGTGTTGGGTGTATAATGTGACAAATAACTTCACACCGTATTTGATATAGCGAATTTATTCCACTCACTCTTACAATCACACAATTTACAATCTCGCAATTACTGCCATCGGCAGTATCACAATTACTTCTCTTGTTTCCATTCACTCCAAAGAGTGCTAGACTGTAACTGGCTGGTTAATCTCCCTCTAGTAACTGGCTCAATCCTCACTGTCTAATCCCTCGCTACTAACTACTAACTAACTCCTGAATAGTCAAAGTCAAAGTTACATTGCGACTGATGGTTAGTCAGTCTGTCTGCTGCTTCATATTATCACGTGTTGGGTGTATAATGTGACAAATAACTTCACACCGTATTTGATATAGCGAATTTATTCCACTCACTCTTACAATCACACA